TCTCGGCCTCAGTCAAGCAACAGAGCCGCCTCAAGGAAACACGCGACCCGCGACGCGTACACACCTAACGGTGAACTGTTTAACGTCGACCGAGAGCCTCTGTCGTCGGTGCCGCAGCAGTCGCGGTGACAGCTTTCTTTGCGAAAGCGAGTCGCCGCCAGAAGACACTGTCTGACCGGGGCCACAGACGATGTTTCCACTGTTCGACTTGCACTTTTCCAGGGGCCGTGAGCCCGTGATCCACGGTCGAGTCTTTTGTTCTGCGTTGCATAGAAGAAATTAAAAAGAAAAGCGAAACGCATTCCGAGATGACCTTCTCTTTTTCTGTTGGCTTCTTTCTTTACCTTGTTTCATAATAACGGTCTTTTCCACTTTATTCAGTTCCGAATAAAGTGGCTTCTGCTCCCTTCCCTATCATTGTAATGTATATGCGTTCGTCCATCGGTATCTCCCTCTCATGTCAGCTAAGAAAGGGGAACAAGAGAGCTGTTAAAGGAAGGGAGAGAGAGAACGTCCCAAGAAAGAAAGAAAATGGATGGCAATTAACCGTTATAGCTCAAACGAGAGGCTATCACGAGTGACGAACGGCTGGTGTTACCGTGGCCCGGCTATGAACTGCACTTTGACTTTAGCGATAACTTCACTGCTGGCTGAAAATCCTGCCAAAAAAAAAAAAAAAAAGTATTCGCAGCCGGGAGGTCCTCTTCCTCCATTCTTCGCAAGCACGTCGGGGTGAGTTTCGTTTCTGGACACTATACCGCTAGGCATGGAGACGGAACGAGGGAAGGCTGAAACCTCGACAGCGCTTTCCAGCCTCAACGGCTTTCCCACTATTAGGTAAGTTTTCTCATGTCTGTATACTGCCCTGCCGTCTAGCGCACCCGTTGAGCGCCTCTTTATGCCCGTGTCCCGCTAGAGCGACAGACAGAAACAAGAGACAGCGACAAGCCTCAAACCCATGCAGCATGCTCGCGATGGCACCTTTGGCTGGCGTTTAGTCGTTCGGTGCTCGTGAAGTAAGCACGAGCGATTGCAAGTCTGCCAAAGCCACCTTCGCGTGCATGATGCTTGTGTTTGAACATAGCTTCCTTTATTATACAAAGCCTGCCAAATCGCGAAAGACCCTGATTTGAGGCTTGTCGCTGTCGTTTGTTTCTGTCTGTCGCTCTAGTGGGACACGGGTATTAACAAGGGCCCGGATCTGTTCAGCATCAAAAGGGGGAAAGTTAAAGGAGCAATGCAACAATTTTTGTACTTTGCACAAATACCGCGTAAAACGGATCCCTAACGTTAATGACCTATGAAACACGCGTTCGTTTTTCACCTCACGCAATAGAAGTCCCAGAAAAAAATTTAAGAAAAACGAGCAGCATTCACCCCCTCAACTCGCAGCCAGAACAAGCGGCCACGTGATCTGGAGCCGATTATATGCCGCCAGTGTTGATCATAGCCACGCGCTGGGGTTGGCAAAGCGCAGGACACGCGCTGAGTTCCAGACATTGTTATGGCTCGGCTATTGTCGTCGTTGCAGCGATTGGACACGGGTTACAACCCGAATGCTTCTCGAGATAGCAATTGTCACGAGCCCAAGTCGAGTGCCCACGCAATGCTTGGGTCCAATCTATGAGCCGCATTCAAATATCGTCACTTGGGTGTACTGCGATCCCCGAGTTACGTCATCAAATTTTGCAAAGGAGAGATTGAATGAAAATGATCGCTTTTGTCCTTGAAATTACACCGCAACAAAGGCGTTTCTTGGCCAATGGCGTTGCGTGTGAGTATCCTTGAGTCCCAGGTGTGCCAGTAAGCTCGTGTAGAGAGAAAAACATTCCGATTGAATATCGTTGCACAGCTCCTTTAAGTGATCTTTGAAAAGTAGTCGCTGCTGCGTTACAACAAGAACTAAAATAGTTTTTTTATTTAGTCCGTCTTGTATGGAAGCGGCAAACGTTTTGTATCACTAAAGTCGTGCGGCGGTAATAATATGTATCTTAGAAAGTGGAATGAGAGTTTACTGAGAGTTTCAAAATAAATATAAATCGTAGTCATTGTTTGTTGTCGCCAATGCCTTCATCGCTAAAAACAACAACAACAACAACAAGAAAAGTACTTTGAAAGTAACTAAGCTACTATGACGAAGTAACTGTAACTGTAACGCGTTAATTTTACGTAACTGTAACTTAAATACATTTTTGACAAACCATGTGTAACTGTAACTAATTACTTTTTAAAAGTAACTTACCCAAGACTGAAAACGAGTGGCGACCACGCGTGTTTCAACGTATTAGATGGGGTCGCAAGTAGGGCTGGGCGTAAATTAAAAAAAAATTAAAAAAATAACCCGATTGATTGGTTCCTTTAATCGATTAATGAATCGATTGATCGGCTTTGTTCATTCCCATGCGTAACCGTTTTTAGAGAAGTCAAAATTAAATGTTTTGCTTCTGCTGAATAAGTAATAAACGGTCCAATATACAATTTCAGACTTTAAATTAAACTTGATGCGTAGTTCAGAACAGTCATAAGACACCCGCACTCACCAATAATTACTTCAGCCGCAGTGGCAAAGAGGTTCGTTGATAGCCTACGGCAAGGGCGAACTCCTTCGATTGTTCACAAAAGTCTCTGATACGCTAAACGGACACTTGCACGGTGTTTAAGCGGCTGGGACACGTATAACTTTCTGCACTTGTTTACAGTTACTACAAATCTCACACCTACAGTTCACTGTAGGTGGGCCAGTACACCACTACTGGTGTACTGGCCCACGTCTGCGTGGTAAAAGCGTAGCATTTTTAATTTTGTGTGTTCCCCCAAATTTAACTGATTAACCGGTTAAATAATTAATAGCGATGAAAGTATTAATCGATTCATCGGTGGCTAAACGATCAGATGCCAAGCTCGCTTACACACTTTTGAGCCAGTGCTACAGGCAGCCGCATCGCCGATGCGGCAGATACACTTGGCTGGGGACTAGAGTAAATGAAAAATGTCTGGAGTATTTATTCACTGGCGGTCATAGCTGTGTGCGAGAATGCTGATCGCGTGCTGAAGCCGAGCTTCCACAGTTTGTTTGCAAGTGCATTCCGCACCATCAAGACTGCTGGTCTAAGCAGCCCATAAATGTGCTCGTTCGGAGCATGCGCACTGAACAGCGCACTCAAATATAACGTCCAGCCCAGCGTGCGATCATGCGCGTGTTCGTCGCTTCGGAAAGCGAGCAAACCGCGCGCAGTTCGTACGAACGATGAAAAGGGTACCGTCCGAAACCTGATTATTGAAATCTTGTCTCCAGCTACGTTGTCCATACATCTAACATAGGCGAAGAAAAAAAAAAAAAAAAAAAAAAGCAGGAAATTACCACTTGGAACAAGTTAAAAATATAAAAGAGGCAAAGCAAGGATTGCCAACGATGATAAAAACGTAAACACCTCCCAGTTGCGTGGCAAGGGAAAAATATGTTTATCCCCATACCGGAAGTTTCGCGATTAAACATGGCGACGATTACCCCAAGGGTGTTAAGTAGCACCCTTAGGGCATTAGCCCGGGGAGTTAGCCACTGTAGAAGCTGATTCACACCTTTAAGGGTGTAAATTATTTTTGTGTGTATGACTGAGAGTATAGCGGGCGCGTGGATGTAGCTTTGGCATGCTCGCAATTGCACAGGTTTGCTCGCCCGAGCAGAGACATGGCGCCGGCTAGTTGTCCCGCGTGTACCTTTTCCCCAAGGGCGCAGCCATCTTGAATGTCGGCACTTCTGGTATGCGGTAAAACATCGTTTTGAGCTCTCCACGCCGCTGGAAGGTGTTTACGAAAAATGCGTGATTGTCACAGATCCTTGTTTTGCCTCACCTATATTTTCTCACATGTTCCAGGTTGAAACGTTTTATTATTTTTTCGTCCCGCATACCAGATACGGAACCCACGTGACGGAGAACGACAGGAAACAGAAAACGTCTTCTTGTATTAACGTCACACATCAGCGACCATTGGGGTGACTTCGTTGCTCAGCGCGTATAGCAAACATTTCGCAACCCCAAATTCATTTTTCTCGGCAATAACAGTAAGCAAATGACCGCCAGTATGCAAGGACGACTTCTGACGGCCATATGTGGAACAAAACGTTGGTCCATCATAATGATCATGGTGGTTTATCACCTTTGCTGCCCAAAACTGACGTATAGACGTTTTCTGTTTCCTGTCGTTCTCAGTCACGTGGGTTCCGTATCTTGTATGCGGAAGCAAAAAAAAAAACATTTAAACCTGAAATAGGCGACCAAATATAAGTGAGGCAAAACAAGAATGTGTGCACCCAGAGTGAGGATACTTCAACTTCCTCCGCTGGTGCAAGCACGTGCAATGCCAAGCTTCTATGCGCTATGAAAATGATAGCATAACCGCGTGGGTACCACGTGCACTCCTTTACTGGACGCCATATTTGAGGGCGCTGTTTAGAGCGCATGCTCAGAACGAGCTCACAATAATAGGCTGCCAAGACCGGCAATCTTGATGGTATGGAATGCACGTTGCAAATGAACTGTGGAAGCCTGCAATCAGCACTCGCTAAGAGCAGTCGGGCACAAAGCTATGGCCGCCAGTAAATAGACCTTTCGAAAAAAAGAGCGTGTGGCCGGAGCCATTTTCAGTGTTTGTGCGCATGGCGCGTGCTTTGCTCGCTTTTCGAAGCGACGAACACGCACGTGCTGGGTTGTAAAGATAGGACGCTGCACTCTGATTTTGTAAACATTGGATAGGTATATATTCCCTACAGCGGGTACTCACTGAACGCCATACTTGAGTGCGCTGTTACCAACGCCAGCTGTGCACTGCGCGTGCTCAAAACCATCTCCCATCTATCGGCTACTAACTCGGGCAATCTTCATTGTATGAAATGCACGTTGCAAAGGAGCTAGAAACTCACCACCGGCAGCCGCGGACTCAGCTATGACCGCCGCTGAATACTCCTCATAGATAAAAGACGGGGGTGTCTATAGACTTACTGAGATGGAGCCTGCGCAGCGCGTACTTCTTCAGCACGAAGCTGGAGGCATTGAAGAAGACGTTGGCGAAGGCTAGCACCAATCCCAGCAACGTCCCGGACTGGGCCTGTACATCGGAACCTCCTGCCCAGCAGATGACGCGGTCCTCGGAACCGGCGTCCCACATGCCCTGAAGCGAGCTTATGGACCGCTGCAGCGACATGCTCCAGTTCAGAAAAGATCATCGGCTGCACAAGTCATCCGCCAGCGCTTGCTCTTACCTCACGCATGCTACGATAAGAACCGTCGTGCACCGCAGCCTATTAAGGCACATCCGTGACTGCGTTGGCGTGTCACGCCGCGAAGTTGCTGATGTTTTTTTTCTGGCTGACTGCGGACACGCTCCCACGATTCACCTGGCCTAGCTCGAGTTGGTGATCTTGCTGGCCGTCTTGATTGTATCGATAGCAATGCGCCCCTGGGTTGACTCTTTTATTTTTTTTTTAATGGAAATTCATCAGAGAGAAACGAAAGTTATTGAATGACGAAAATAAATATTTCAGCGTCCCATCCTTGTTGGCTTTGACTTTATAAGCCTGCCATGTTGTGTGTTATGTTACCTTTCTTGTTTTTTTTTCTCAAGCGAATGAATCATAGAATAAGGTGATTAACGAGGGCAAAGATCTAAAACTGCACCCAAACGTGCTTCAAATACGGCTTTTTTTTTTTTTTTTCTGTAGTTGGTTAGCCGTTTTTAGCACAGTCGATCGACTGTGTCACCACGGCGACGCATTGGAATTTGGACATTGCACACACAGAGTGCGATGGGGGGATCGGTGGCCGAGTGCGCTAGCGCACACAAGGTCGGAGCACCTGGAGCGAAAGCTCGCGCTGCAGAATCCAGGCACCCCGGGTTCAGTCCCCACCCCTTCCCGCTTCGATCTGGATGAGCATTGTACCGGCGTGCGGTCGTGTATCACTACTGCGTGGTGCACGTTAAAGACCCCAGGCTATAGCCGTTGTACTGCACTGGCTAAATTTCTCATCTACAGCTCGGAGATTCGTCACCCGTTGAGGCTAAGTTCTAGGCTATGGAAACATACACACACCCCACACAGTGCGGTGATTTACGGGGGCAAGGATCTAAAAGTGGATATCTAGAGCTACTAAACAAGCTACGCTTCAGAGCAAGGAGACTTACCCACCCTGGTGCTTAAAATAATGGTTGCCAGTTATCTAAAACTTTATCTGAAATCACACACACAAAAAAAAAAAAACAGAAAAAAAGAAAACAAACAAACAAACAAACGCCCTTCCGTTTTCTACAAATGTTTAAACAGTTTGGGACAGAGCGAAGCAATATTACATGAGCTTCCTAACACCGTATCTAATGCTGGGGAAGTCGCACTTTTGAATTATGACGATGGGCAGTTGCGTTTGCTCTGTTCAAAGCACCAAGATGGCGATGCCGACAACAAATATCGGGGAACAGAGTGCCGATACTCTAAGCGTACGCTTAGTGCTACTAAGTAAGCTACGCTTCAAAGTAGCGACACTTACTCATCTCGGGGCTTGCTTCCTAACACCGAATCTAATGCTGAGGAAGTCGCACATTTGGATCATGACGATCGGCGGTTGCGTCTGCTCTGTACTATAAGCACCAGGATAACGGCGCCCACAATATCGGGAAAAAGAGTGCCGATACTGCTTTAAGCGTATTTAATGGCTCTAGCATAGCTTAATTAATGGTATAACTCTACTCACTTTCTCTGCTGCTTCTTTGAACGTGCTTCAAGTATGACTGAGATTAATCTCTTTTGTTTACAAGTGTGGTTCGCCAGTTGTCTTCAAGGGGCTGTGCATCATATTGAATAGGAACGTTTCTTACTTTACACCAGCTTACTGACACTAGTGGGACCCAAGAATACTTGAACGCAACCCCATTGACCAAGAAGCGTCATCGTCGCGGGGGAATTCCAAAAATAAAAGCGTAAGTTTTCTTTCAGTCTCTCCTTCGCGGAACTTAGTGACGGAGCTGCGGGGGCAGTGACAACAATGCGATCTACAGGAGTGCGTCATCAAGATTTGCGATCTTCGCTGTGACGATATTTAAATGCTGCTCATGCAGTGGACACGAAGACTGCGTAGGAACTCGATTTTGGCTCGTGACCAATCAATGCCTCGACATGCATTCGGGTAGTGGCTCGTGTCCAATCTCTAGAAGACGGGAATGGCCAATAACAGTTCATGGAACTCAGTGCGCGCCCTCTGCTCTACCAACCTCACCATGTGGATAGGTTCCGCGTTTTCTGGGTGTGAGTTGAGGAGGTTAAACGGTGTTCGTTTTTCTCGGATTTTTTTCTGCGACTGCCGCTGCGTAAAGGAAAAACAAAAACAAAAAAAAAAACATCTGTTTAATAGGTTATAAATGTCAAAGAATAATTCTAGGCTGTATTTACTGAAGGTAGAAAAATTTGATGCTCCGCTCACGATGCAAGAAACACATTCTTGCATCGTGCTTCAGCTGCATCGGCACAGTCGGTCGTATTGCCACGGTGACGCAAAGCAAAAACAAATTAGTCGTCAGTTGTTTATACAGCAGGACATGGCGACATTGTTACCCACTGTAGAAGATAAATTTAGCCAGTGCAATACAGCTGCTTAGCCTTGGGTTTTTAACGTGCATCACGTGGTAGTGATACTGTAGTGTAGCCGATTGATTAAAGGGGCGGTGCAACGATATTCAATTGGAATGTTTTTCACTTTACACGAGCTTACTGGCACTATAGTGGGACTCAAGGATACTCGCACGCAACGCCACTGACCAAGAAACTCCTTTGTTGCGCTGTAATTTTGAGGACAAAGCCGAGTGGTTTCATTCAATCTCTCCTTCACAAAGCCTGATGACGTAGCTGGGCGGTAGCAGTACCGCCCAGTGACGATATTTGAATACTGCTCATAGATTGGACCCGAGCATGGCGTGGACACTCGATTTGGGCTCGTGATAATCGATAGCTCGAGAAGCATTCGGGTAGTGCCCTGTGTCCTATCGCTGCAATGACGACAACAGCGAACCATAACAATGTCTAGAATTCAGCGCGTGTCCTGTGCCTTGCCAAACCCAGCACATGGCTGATAAACATTGGCGGCATATAATCGGCTCCAGATCACGTGGCCGCTTGTTCTGGCTGCGAGTTGAGGGGGTGAACTCTGCTCGTTTTTCTTCATTTTTTTCTGCGACTTCGATTGCGTGTGGTGAAAGACGAACGGGTATTTCACGGGTCATTAACGTCAGAGATCCGTTCTAAGCGGTATTTGCGCAAAATACAAAAATCGTTGCATCGCCCCTTTAAGCAAAGCAGGGAACGCCGACATGGCAGTACCTTTCTCATCGTTTTCTTCGTTCTTTATTGACCTCATCACTTCTTCTTTCTTTACATCAAACACTACAGATACACGACCGCACGCCGGTACGATGCTCACCCAGATCGAAACGGGTAGTGGCGGGGATTGGACCCAGGATCCCTGTGTTCTGCAGCCCGTTCTTTCGCTCCACTTACTCCGAGTTGGTGTGCGCTAGCCTACTCGATACCCCCACGGTGACGCAATGTCCTGCACACAGCGCGGTGATTCATAGAGTGGGTGAACCATATCAGACGAGGAAAAAGAGGAGGAAGATGATTCCAAGAAACGCCATGCGTCCGGAGGGGCGTCCAGAGCGCATTCACCAGCTTGTCTGCGACCTGAATCGCCCCCGGCTCGTGGTGACGGCAGTGGTGCTGGCCAGCTTCCTCATCTCGTCCTTCATAGCCCTAGGGCCTCCACGTGTGGATTACGTCAAAGCCCATCCTGCCTGCAAGTCCTCTGAGTGCGCGGCGCTGGGCCAGGCCATTTCCACGAGTGTCAACTCGCGGATCGCGCCCTGTCAGAATTTCTACCGCTTCGTGTGCGACGGATGGATCAAGAGCCACCCGGCGCGCGACGGAGAGCTGCGCCGCGTCGTTATGCGGGAGCTCGCAGACGACGTGGTCGCGTCGCAGAAGAAGGCCCTCATCTCCACGCAAGTTCCAGCGAGGAGCCAGGACGCCTTCCACCGGCTCGCCTACGTCTACCAGGCGTGCGTGCGCGTCGAGAAAGCGGACGTCGACGGCATCCGAGTTCTCAAGGAGTTCATGGGCTTCGTAGGGCTCCAGTGGCTCCAGGTGTCCCGTACACGGTCGCTGGACCTGCTGCGGACGGTAGTGCGTCTCTCCCTCCAGTGGGACATTCCCGTGCTGATCTACCTGGGCGTCCGGCCCAGCCCCTACGACAAGGAGCAGCTCTTGGTGTCCGTGGACCGAGGGCCTTCCCTGGGCGTAGATCGGGCAGTGGATGCGGCGGGGGAGCCCAGAAAATCTGCGCTCCGCAAGCTGGCTGCGCTCGCGGGAGAGCTTCTGGGCGACCCAGGTCAAGCCGAGAAGATCGAAGCGGCCGTCACGCTCTGCGAGAAGTACCTCAAGGACCAGGCGACCGCCGTGCGGCGCAGTGCACGCAAGCGAGGCTTAGACTTCCGGCGAGTGGTAAGCTTCAAAGACTTGGAAGCCATGACGTTCGTGGATGACGGGTCCCTGTGGCTGGACGCCGTCAACGCGCAGCTATCGCCGGGCCATCGGCTGTCGCCGTCTGATTCGGTGCTTCTGGACCATCCAGACCACGTGGTGGCCGCAGCGAGACTTATCCGAAAGCCCGAGCTGTTGCAGAGCCTGGTATACTACCTGGGCTGGCTGCTGGTTCAGCAGCTGGGGCCTAAGGCCGCGTTGTCCCTGCGCAAGGCCCAGCACGCCCTCGAGCGTCAAGGAACCACGGATGGCGACCCTGCGGGCCAGCTGAATCTGTGGCGCGTGTGCATGCGCGAGGCGGAAGAGCTGATGCCCACGGTGTACAGCGCGCTCTACGTGCAGCAACATGGCGCCGCCTTCGACAAGCCCAAGTATGACGTGAAGGCCATCGTGGACCACGTGCTCTGGGTGACCACGGAAACGGTGCGACGCGTCCGCTGGATGGACGAGCGCACCAAAGCTAAGGCTCTGACCAAGCTGAAGAAGATGCGCGGTCTCATAGCTTTCCCGCAGTGGATGCGAAACAGCACGCTCGCCCGCGGTCTGGACTCCGAACTTCCGGACCTGAACGAGCACTACCTGGCCACCTGGCTGCGCATCAAGGAGGTAAAGAGCGCGCGTATGCGGCGCGGACTGCGGGATCGCCACCAGGACGACCAGACGTACCACTACCGCGTGTCGGAAGTGGACGTCCGCTACTACGCGGATGAGAACAGACTGGTGATCCACCCGGCCGTCCTCTCGGTGCCATTATACGCGTATGGAGGTCCCGTGGCTCTAAATTACGGCGCCCTAGGTTCCCTGGTGGCGCGGCAGGTCCTGGGCGCCTTCGACTCGGAGGGCTGCAACTACGACGAGGCCGGCAACGAGAACCACTGGTGCTCCTCCGAGTTCCGCGAGGAGATGCGGAGGGGCCTGACTTGCTACGCGGACCAGTGGGAGATCACCAGCGCCAGGGTGCCAGGGATGGCTGCTCACAACGACACGTGGAGTCGCGAGCAACTGGCCGCCGATACGGAGGGGCTCAAGATCAGCCTGCGCGCCTACAGGCTGCTGGTGAAGAACCTTGGCGGAGACCGGTACGACGAGGCTCTCGCGGGGCTGCCGTACACGCCAGAGCAGCTCTTCTTCCTCAACCGGGGCCTGCTGTTCTGCGCCAATGTCAACCTGCGCCTGCTGCGGGAGAGGGGTCGCGAGGACATGCTGGCGGCGCACGAGTACCGCTGCAACGTGCCGCTCCTCAACGTGCCGGACTTCACCAAGGCCTTCCACTGCAAGCTCGGGGACCTCATGTATGCGCGAAGCATGTGTGCCGTTTGGTGACTGGTCAACATTAAAGGAGCTGTGCAACAATTTTTGTACTGTGCACAAATACCGCTTAAAACGGATCTCTGAAGTTAATGACCTATGAAACACGCATTCGTTTTTCACCCCACGCAATAGAAGTCCCAGAAAAAAATTAAGAAAAACGAGCAGCGTTCACCCCCTCAACTCGCAGCCAGAACAAGCGGCCACGTGATCTGGAGCCGATTATATGCCGCCAGTGTTGATCATAGCCACGCGCTGGGGTTGGCAAAGCGCAGGACACGCGCTGAGTTCCAGACATTGTTATGGCTCGGCTGTTGTCGTCGTTGCAGCGATTGGACACGGGTCACAACCCGAATGCTTCTCGAGCTAGCAATTGTCACGAGCCCAAGTCGAGTGCCCACGCAATGCTCGGGTCCAATCTATGAACCGCATTCAAATATCGTCACTTGGGTGTACTGCGATCCCCGAGTTACGTCATCAAATTTTGCAAAGGAGAGATTGAATGAAAATGATCGTTTTTGTCCTTGAAATTACACCGCAACAAAGGAGTTTCTTGGCCAATGACGTTGCGTGTGAGTATCCTTGAGTCCCAGGCAGTGGCGTACCAACTTGTTTTTGAGTGGGGGGGCAAACCCGACCCTCTTCCCCCCCCCCCCCTTAATCGAAAATTCGGCGCAACTTTTGTCGAACTTTTCTAAAGATGTGGCAATGATTCGGCAAAATTACAACGTTACCAGACTTAACATTGATATTTTGTTTTTTCTCACGAAAAAAATTTTGCTTCTTAAAATAAATACAACTTGTAGTGCCTATTGAAACAGTTATGATTAAATAAGGTGATATTCTACAAGATAATTGTATCGATGTCGCTTTTGTGTGTTTACTGGCAATTTTAGTGTTTGCTTGCAGAAAGTGGCATGACAACGAGGTTGGGTAGTAGCCGGAGCAGTCACGAATCACACTACGAGAGTTTTGATTTTGAGGCTTCATCAGCGCACGCCTGCAAGTGTGTTTACATTGTTAAAATAAAGACAATCACTGCGTTCTTACTTTCTCTGGGAGTCACCGTTTCGTGCGCGAAAACGGATGCAACGGTTGTTTAGCCTTCACCAGAAGAGATAACAATACTGTAAATATGCATGTTTTTCGATTTGAGTCACTTGACGTCAGCTTTGCATGAAAGTGCGCGTTCCATATTCGCAACGTGCCGTTTTTAACCTTTAAAATTCCGGTTTCTGGTGTTAGGACACACACGGACGTTTAGGAAGATGGGGAGAGTTAGGAATGTCGGATGTGCAACGTCGAGCATGATAGTTCTGTGTTTAACGAATACTTTTCATCAGTGTTTACTAACGAGTGCTTGGACTTCGTCCCCACTCTCCCTGAAGAGCTTTACGAGCGCATGCATCCTATTAACGTTAACTCCGCTGGTGTTAAAACATTGATTGATAAACTAAAACTTACTTCGTCCGCTGGAACCGATAACATCAACCCTAAAATTTAAAAGAAACACCCGTGTTATTTCTAGTGAGTATTTGAAACTCATCTTCATTCAGTCCTCATCTCAAAGCTGCCTTCCATCTGACCAAAAGGTGGGAAGGGTAATTCCCAGTCTTTAAACAGGGCAGCCGCTCTTCCGCATCTAATTATCGCCCTAATTCATTGACTTCAATTTCTTGCAAACTACTTGAGCATATCCTCTTCTCCAATATCATGAGGCACCTATCATCCCATTTCTTTTCTTTGAACAGCAGCACGGTTTCCAAAAGGTACTTTCCTGCGAAACGCCACTCTGCGACTTCATCCATGACTTGCACACTAATCTTGAATGTCACGTCCAAACTGACGCAGTTTTTTTTTTTTTTTTTTCCAAAGCGTTTGGCCGTGTCCTCCATCAACGCCTTCTTTCTAAGCTATCATCTTTTTGCCTCGACCAATAACCGTTTGCATGTATTCGTGACTTTCTTTTTTCCCGTGTACAGGTCACGTCCATGATGATCATGAATCTTCCTTAATAAATGTATCTCCTGGTGTTCCCCTGGGGTTCGTACTTGGGCCCTTACTCTTTTTAATATTTATTAATGACATTCCCATTGGGATTTCTTCAAAAAAACGCTTTTTCGCCGACGACTGCGTCATCCATAACAAAGTAACTTGTGTGCAAAATAATAACCAGCTTCAGGAAGATCTAGATAAAATTAACAATTGGTGCAAAGAGTGGATTATGTCACCAAAAAAGTATAAACGCAAACTAATCCAGTTCATCAAGAAAAAAAACCACTCAGTCATTTAATTACTTCTTGGACTCCGATCTGATTGAGACCGCTGCTGTGTATACAGTCTTACACCTTGGTGTAAGACTAACATCTGACCTTCCCTGGAATAACCACATTGAAGTCATTACCGCCGATTCATCTGGAACTCTTGGACTAAGCAGACGTAACTTAAAAAATCGTTCCACCCTTTGTCCCTAAGCTAACCTTTAACACGTACGTCAGACCAAAAATAGAATATGCTTCAACCATCTGGACTACCCATCGACTGTACCTCATCAATACGCTGTAGAGGCAGTTCAGAACAGAGCTGCTCGCTTCATTTCATCCACTTATGACTTTTCTTTCAGTGTCTCGGCGCTAAAAACTGAACTAACCATGTCCTCTTTGCAGCTTCGCAGGAAAGTCTCTCAGCTGTGCCTTATTCACAAAATCTACTACCACATTCCCGACCTGAAAACCACTTTGTTATTACCCCTCGACCGAACATCTTCTCGCCTCAACAACGTCTGCACCATCAAACACACTTCTGGCTCTACGAACGCTTTCAATTGGTCATTCCTTTCTCAAGCCATCAGCCACTGGAACAGTCCCCCATCCTCCATTGTCACCATCTTGGACCTTGCTGATTTCTCCTCTGCAGTAAAACTACACCTTTCTTGGCCCATGTGATGGTGTGCGGGGCTAGGCAGATCAGTGAAAACACTTACGCAGAGCGCTCGCCAGGCCAGACTTGTACGTAGTTCAACTACTTTACTCAAGTTACTGTAGTTTAACTACTTTTCTGGGTAGTTTAGTAACTTTTAATTACATTTCTATTCTAGTAATCAGTAGTTTACTTTAACTACTTTTCCGAGTGACTTCCACTCAAATTACAAATTACTTTCTAATTTTAGTGGTTGTTTTGCCTATCAACAGAGAACAGAGGTCGGAAGGTCAGCTGATATTTGCAGAGGGGGAAGCATGCGGAGTAGAAAAGGGGGGGATGGGAAGGAAGAAAGTGATTTAGATAGTCCAAAAAACCCCAAAATTTTAACGAGCCTCCCCACTGCAACAACACTGCTACGAGGCGCGGGGAGCGAACAGACACGACGCAAGAGAGGTCGAGTAACTGTGGGATTAGCTCCGAATAGTGGCGTTTCTTTGTATTCCGAAGCTCAAGGAGACTTGACGCATTTGAAGAAAGGGCTTGTCCCCGCTTCTCTCCAATGTAGGAATTCTTGCCCACTACAGGAGGTGCACACACTGCTCCTTTTACGGTGCAGGCGATAGAACCCCTAACAACGACGCTCACGCCGGATGGGCTGCTCGTGTATCACTCGAAGCGCGTTAACCCACCCCCGCGCCTGCGTTCACGCCGCTTCGCGGTGACGGTGTGCGGCTGCTAATTACAAATCTATTAACCCACCTAGCCCCCCCACACCCCGTACACGCCGCTTTGCGGCGTCCGGTCGGCAACCCAAGCCCCGCTGCCCCCCATGCATTTCCGTAAATAGAGTCGATACGATTTAGTTTAGCGATGTTTCGTCAACAACATTCGTTTTTTTAGTGTTAATGGTAAAAAAGAAATGTAAATATCGCCAAATGCCTCGACAAAACAAAATGTTCGAGAAAAAAAATAAAAAGAAGTAAGCCGGCCCACACCATAAATAGAACCCGGGTCTGACACGTATGAGGCAGACATCTCACCACTAAGTTACGCTACCTCTTCGGAAACTCGCATTGCATCCGCTGCCTATGTTGACGGCGGCAGCGCCTATCTCCAAGCAAGCAAGCAAAACTTTATTTTGTGTAAGGGCCTACGTCCTGGTCTGGACGGCCCGTCCGGCCCATGTCTCGCGGATGGATTCCGTAAGGTTACCGTGTAGCCATGTTCGTGGAGCAAGGCTTTACGAACCAGCCAATCCGGCGTGCGTGAGCACCGTTGCTAGGGTTTGTATCGCCTGCGCGTTAAAAATATGCCCGCGCGGGTCGGGGGGCCACTCTAAGAAAAAAGGGAGGAGAAAGGTAGCAAAAGCGAGTGTTCCTCCTTGTTGCGGACAAGTTGCCCAGAGAAGGGAGGAACGGCAGTTCAGATGACGGGAGGAGGCCGAGTTGCTCCTTGTTCATTTGGCGCAGGGGTAGAACATCGCGCTACTGACCAAGTGGTCAACGGTTCGATCCCCAGAAAAGGTTTTTTTTTTTTTTTTTGTTTATTAAAACACACATAAACAAACCCAGATCGATGAAAGGAAAATTAAAGTCCTTATTATTCTCCGAGACGTTTTCCTCCTCCAGGCAGACCGGAGAAAGCTTTCGCCCTCCCGACTCATCTTCTTTCGGTTTCGTTTTTCGAGCACATCGCGCACGTTGTTTAATAAATTAATGTTGAGTTGATTGAGCTTCAGCGGCAGCGAAGGCCGCCTGTAATTTTGTCTTCTAGTCCAAACGTGCAGAACATTTCGGTTGCATTGACGTTTTTACCACTAATTTTATCAAACGAGCTAACGAAGCCGCTAGAAACAGCGAAGTTCCGGAGCAGTGCCAGCAGCGCTACATACACTGGGTAAGACGGCCGTCTCCGATTTGCGGGACACACGCGGAACTACAGCAGCGAAACCACGAGGAACTGTGTCGACGTTTTCGACGTTATGGAAATCGCGGGAACTGCGTCCAAGGAAGGCAGGTTTTCCTGCCGGCTGCCTGGGTGCCTTCCGTGCTGAGTTCGGTTCCGTTGTCCCCTGCCGAGTGCCAACCGGCGTT